ATTTACATGGGTTGGGTTGGATTTCGAACAAACCGACAATATTATGTCGGGTTTGGGTTGGGGCAAAAATTAACTCGACCCAATCTAACACATGCCCACCCCTACCTCTTTTTGGTATTGCTAAATAAAGCTACTATATATACATTCATTTTGTACCTGAAGTTTGATATTTATGATGTGTTAAAATCATGGGCATTGATTTGAAGACACATCAAGGGAGAATTGCAGTCTTGGTATATCAACCAATTTAACTCATTGCTAAATATCATATTTTTAGTAAATTTTAGATAGAATTGCAATCGTGGTACCAAACATTTCGTTTTGTCACAAATTTGACCCAAATCTTTCAAAAATTCTCACTTGGGAGTTCAAATGAATGGAATTCATCAATTTGATTGTTAGTTGACCATGATTGTAAAATTTGAATAAATGTAAAAAAGGGAATAATGGTAACATCACAAATTTAATATAAAAATAAATAAAAAATTCAATAAAAAAAAAAGAAAATAAATAAAAGGATCTATTTCTTCACCAGCGCCACCCCCTTTCCCAAAAAATCAGCTACCACCATCACCTAACGCCGGCACCACTTTTAATCTAGGGTTTTGCTACATGTATATTATGGTGTATATAAGAGTGTCCATAATAGACATCCGGCACCATCCTATTGGATGGAGTGCAGGTGGGACCGACACTCCATCCAATAGGGTGGTGGCAGGTGTTCGTTATGGACACCCTTATGTACATCATAATGTACAAAGAGAATAATCATTTAATCTATTACTAAATTTGAAGATTTATGACTTTTCTTGTTTTGGGTTTTGGGGTGTAACTGGTTCACTTATATGCAAGAATGGCAACAAATCCTCCTATGACACTGGGGATTTCGAAATATTACGCAACGACTTCCGTTTCACACATTATACATGCTCTCCAGCCACATACTTTGAAAATCACTTCTCCATGGTTCACAAACTCCTGAAGTATAATTTGAGGTTATAACCCTTTCAAACCCTGCGTATTTAAAACTAGGGCAATCTAATGAGAGTTGGCTCTCCCATTAGCAACCAAAGGCTTCGCAATTACTGGAAACTTCAGCCCCTCTGTTTCATAGAAGAATTTAGGATTTTCAACAAAAAATCTGCTTTGGAAAAGAAATCCAAGTACGACTTTTTTAAAGTTTTGGTACAACGGTTGACACAAATAAAAGATTTGGGTCAAGTCTGAGATTAGTATTGTGACTGTAATTCTCCGTAAATTTTAATAAAAGTTCATAAAATGCATAACTAAAAAGTTGAAAAATATTGAGATCTCCATGAAAAAATTTAAAAATTTAAGTGCTGACTTTATCTTAATTTTTTATTAACCTCGTATATCATTGTTACATTACGTTATAGGTTACAACAATTGTTCATCATTTATTCACTAAACCATAAAACAAACGGTAATCAAACTAAAGAAACTCGATTAGATTTTACAAGGATTGCACTGTACACGCAGAAAGCTGTCTCTCTACTTGGAAGTTTTTGTTAACTCTGCTTCGTGTAGTTTTGAAGATTTCAACCTGAAATGAAGTTAGTAAGCTTCCGCCATTGTTGAAATCGGCATTTCTTCTTCCTCCTCCTCCTCGTCGGCTTCCCACATAAAGTGGGCATACGATCCCAACACCGAACTGCCATAATTTCAAGGAAAGAAAATAAAGAAATAAGAATTTTAAATCAATGGGGATAATTCCTTGCTTAAACTGTAAACCATTTCATCTAAAAGTTATACCAATCGTCTGGAGAGACATAAAGGGCTTGATTGAAATAGGATTTGGCTCTGTTTTTATCTCTCTCTGTCTCCCATATTAACTTCCCGTATAGCGAGAAAACTTCTCCATCTCCAGCACTTGGACTTGCCAAAATTGCTCTTCCGTAATACTCTTCTGCTTTCACTGTATCTCTCTCCACCTTATCATCCATATTCAAATAACAGAAATCATAAATAACAATCAAAATGAGAATTTATTCATAAAACTAATCTGTTTATACAGATATTGATTCAAGCGCAGCTTAAGACTACCTCGTGCAAGTATTTGCCGTAGTTTCTCAGCAGCAAAGAGTCTGTGGGATTTGTCTTCAGCATTTCTTGATAATAAGCTCCAATCTTGCTCCGATCTCCGCTGTCTCCTTTCCCTCCACTACTGCCGCCGCCAGAATTCCGGTTCTTATTGATCCCGCCTCCGGAAATCCCCAATTTCTCCGACGAAATCCCACTTTCCGGCCGGTTCCCGGCGTATCCCCGCAGACCCTCCTCCGTTAAAGTCAACAATGGCATCCCTTTCAGTACAACAGCATCGTCGTTCTCCTCCTCCCGGATCCTCGCCTGAAACGTTCTTGATCCGAGCTTGTTCAAACGTTTCACTTCCAATCGGATGACATCAGATTCCGAAGAGCACCTGCGAATTCCGCGGCGGCCTCCATATATATGCAGGGATATTGTCGGGGACGAGAAACCACCATTACTTTCCTCGGAATGCATACTGGAGGAGAAATCTTGAACAGACAAAGAAACTGGGTTCCGAGGCAAACCGGACGCAAATCCGGTCTGGACCGGAACCGATCTGGATCCGGTTCGGAAAATCACGGCATTCATTTTCTTCTAGGAAACTCTGATTAGTAAGGAAGACAGGATTTAGCGAGTTGGAACTCAGGAAGTGTGTAAAATGATCTATGTATATACGAGGGGTTGGGGAAAAATTATATTGGAGGTCACCTAACTGGTCACCTAACTTTGAAAGAAGTCTTAATTGGGTCATCTAGCTTTAATAAGTCTAATTCAAATCACCAAAACTTTAACTTTGTTTCAAATCTAGTCACTCTGTCATATGTCATTAATATAATCTCTGTTCTAAAAAGCTCGCCTAGGCAGTGCCTAGGCCTCGCCTAGGCTCGAAGTTTGATGAAAACGCCTCGCTTTGAGGCTAAGCGGTAATTAAGCGGTCAACTACAATGTTGACCGCTTAAAGTGCGTCTAGGCACGCCTAGGAGCGCCTAGGGGCCCTATGCGGTTAGCGCGCTTTCGCCTTGGAGGCCCAAATCTTCCCCCCTTTTTAAATATAACCTACAGTAATTAAGATTATTGTCAAGTAGTGAAGTTATATAACTCAGAATAAAAGTGTTTTGCATTTATCAATGATTCAATAGTGAAAACGGGTAAACATAATCTGAGCTTCTGCAATTAAGAAGTCATCTGAAACTGTAATATGAGCTTTTATAATTAATCGAAAATCATTTGTTGTGAATTTTTATTTTGTATATACATATGACATATCAGTTTCAGACTTCCAGAGAATCAATTGCAATTTGTAGCTCTCATAAATCTGATGCATGGCAATGATTCCAAACTGATTGTGGAATAACTCCTGTAGAAAAATCTGGAAATTTAATCAAGAATACCTTTTAACCCTTGACGTGAGGCCCAATCAGTGCTTAACTGTTTATGTAACTAAATTTTCATTTATTTTCACGTTCATATGCTTTTTGGGTCTGGATTTTGTAAATAATAAACATTTGCATTGTTTTTCTTTTTTTTTTTCTAGAAATCAATGGAAGAAGATGATTCTTCAACAACATCCAAATTTCAAGTTACTTTATGAAGGAATTATTAAATAAATACAATATTTTATAATTTTAGATGTTTGGTATGTATTATTTGAATTGTTGAATTTTTTTACAATGATTAAAAATTTAAAATAAAAAAAACGCTTTTTTTACGTCTAAACTTCGCCTAGGCCCGCCTATGCTCGTAAAACTTGAAATTTGATCTCCACGTCTAGCCACGCTTTACGCTTTTTAAAACATTGAATATAATTGCTAGGACTGACCTGTGTATACATTAAAATTAGATCAAATGCCATATATGAAAAAATTCAACTGTGTTATTTCATCTATTTTTAAGTCAACTTAGGCGGACATATCTGTATTTTTTTTGTACATTTTCGAAATTTTTATAGCATTTCGTACGATTTTTGATAGCTTCTTCTGATCTTGTAGGTAAAAAATTATTTCTTAACTTGAGTCATGGTCGAGGAAATAGCTTTCGACAATTGAATAATAAATATTATCTAGTATATGAATCTAACAAAATCTTTCAAGTACATTAAAGAAAAATAGGCACAGATTTTCTCAAACATTTCTCAATGTTATTTAATTGGTCCAAACCTTTCAAATGTAGCACAAATGGTCCAAGGCTTTTCAATTTTGGCCCAAATGGTCCTAATGAACAGTTTTCATCTATAAGGATAAATTTTGTCTTTAGAAAGCAATTGACCTTATTTTTTTAAAATTCTTTTTATTTGACGGGCATTTTTGTCAAGTACATTCCCCCACTCAAAAATAAAGAAAACCTCTTGTTTGATCAAGAAGGGTAATTTGAAAAATCTTAATATCGCATTGATAAATTCGTTATTTACAACACTAAATATGATTTTTGTAAGTTTCATCCAGTTTTGACTGATTATATATCCTCAGCTTGCACTTAATTCAAGTATATGCATGCAACATTTTCAATAGGTTTGTGATCGTTGTTGCGTCAAATACAAAAGTTTTTGGACCAACTACTCAACATTGTATCAAAGATTTAGGATCTTTGGCACACCATACCTAAAAGGTTTAGGTATAATTTTGCGGCAATAATGAAAAGGTTTAGGGTCAAATGCTTACCAAAAATCAAACAGTATAAAATTTACTCACAGTATACTTCAAAAAAAAATACGAACATAGCAACAGAAATTAGTTTCTTTCATTTGTAAAGCAAGTGCATTACAAATTACAATTCGTTATGATCTTTACCCTTTAACCATATTACAGTAACTCGCAAACAAATCCCAAAACTAAATCTCTAAGGAAAAATTATTTTTCTATTTCTCAAGTACTTGTTTTCTTCTCGCAACCTTCTGTTGGAGCTCAGCAATCCTAGCATTATATCTTGACAAAAATTCACCTTCAAATAAAAAAGGTCAATTGTATTCAAAATTTCAAACTAAATGGTCCTTACAGACGAAAACAGTCCAAAACAACAATTTGTGCCAAAATTGAAAAGGTTTGGACCAATTACGCAATATAGTTGATAGATATGGGACCGTTTATGGTAATTTCTCTCCACTAAATGTGATTGTTGGGTTTAGACTAATGTGTGATGTGGTGTGTCAATAGGAGAAATCATACATTGAAATCACCGATGGATATCTGAGCCTGTTTGGCTACTGCATCTAATAAATTGGCTGCATTTGAAATAAATTCAGTGTTTGGTGACTTGATTCAATTTTTATAAAATTGAGTGACCCAATTGAGACTTCACTCAAAATGTGATGACCTCTGAAAAAATTAAGTATGATGGGGTGAATGAGTTGACTATGATGGAGAGTGATTGCAAGACACGTGAGGCCGTGGCGAAGGTAATGGCGTTTTGTGTGTTGGCTTTTATGGAGTGGTTTTGAAGGTACTAGCCGACGTTTCACGGAAAAAGTCTGACTTTAGAAGGACGCGTGGAAGCATGAGAACTTTATCTCTAATTTTTATTTTTTTTGGTAAGAATTAAAATTAATTTTTTAATAAATTTTGATAAAAATTAATAAAAAATTTAATTAAAAAATTATTGATCTCGAGAAATATGTAACTAATATTAATTATGGATTTGACTCCACAAAAAGGAACTTAACATGTAATTTAGATGGATTTAACCCATGTTTGACAACCATTAAAATTAGATATTTTTTGTCTAAATTTATTTTCAATTACACATTCTCAAAATAAAATATTTTATATGCAAATTTAAAATTTTTTCGTATTTTTTACCCACAAATTTCTAAAAAAAATTACCACTTCAAGATTCATTTTATTTATTGTGTACTTATAGGTGATTGATTGAGGAAATTCATATAACATTTCCTTTTTATAGTGTGATTTTTAGATAAAGGTGTTTGCTATAGTATTCGTCGAAATTGTGAATATAATAATAGTCGAGAATTTTTATTTTTTATTTTTAATAAATTATAGCAAATTTTACATAAAAAAAATTTTTTTTGGAATCGATACGCGCCATCAAAATTACACGAACTTATATTTTTAAATAAAAATATGAACATTGAAATTTAGATTTTTTTTTTTTTTTTTGAGGGGATCATTCTTTCTATAATAATTTGATAAATAATCTAACTCTTAATTTTAATTAATTTAAGGTTCTAGATCTAATAATACCTTTATCGGGGTTTGTTTGGATGTGAGTGTAGTGATTTGTTAAAAGATTTACATTGTTAGATTAACTTAAATTAAGAACTATAATAATTTATTAAATTCATTGATAGGAGGTTTCTTAATAAAAAAAATGTTTTTGAAAATTCCGAGATGAGACTCTCTAAGTAATTTTTCATTTCTTAATAAAAAAAAATGAGAGTTTTCGAAAATGTTTATCGGAGTACCGATTGAGGTTTCATTTTAAATAAATAATTAATATTATTAAGTGGAGTAACATAAAATCATAGCTCTTATTGTTTTTTTTCGTCTTCGTTCAATTTGAGATTTACCCTAAATGGATATGGAAATGGAGAAATAAACAAATAATCCTACCAAAACTCAAATCATTTTTTTTTTATCTTTCTGCAATTGATATTCCAAAAACAAGGAGGAAATCAGATGACTACTGAGAATTTAGGAAATCTAAACTGATAATTTCAATTTGCAGAAAAGAAAAAAGAAAAGGAAAGAGATACAGGTTTGTGGCGAAATGGAAATTGTGAATTTACTATTTTGCCCTTATTACATTTGTTCAATTTTTACTATTTCAGTCAACTAACGGTCAATGGATGGTCCAATTGCTACATTTTGAAAGGTTTGGTATCGTGGGTGGTACAAAACAAAGATTTGAACAAAATCTGTAAAAAAGTGAAAGATTTGATACCGTGGCTGTAATTTTTCCTTATTTTAATTATATCAATGACATTTTATTTCATCAAGTGGCCAACTGTGAGCATGGCCACTGATTGTTACAGCGCAGAAAAAAACAAAATGCAAACAGCTAATGGGATAATAAGATAAATTTTTGGAGTTATTGGGGCAACTTCTGCTTTCGAAATTATTATTATTATTATTATTATTTCTCATTGATCCATGTTCAATGAAATTCTTCTCTGTTTTAGCATTAAAAATTATGAATTATTTACATATTAACGTATGGTATAAGCTGAAATGAAATATTAAATCGAGTGCTTAGCTTATATTAAAAACACTCAATTCATTGTTTAATAAAAAAATTAATTCAAATATTGAAATTCGCCGTAGACTTATTCACCAATAGAATTGACATATCATCGTTGCTTAGGCTAAGAGCAGATCTTATCAGATCATTTCTTATGGTATAAATATTTAATATCCATCAAAATTTATAAAAAATGAGTATTTTGAAGGTTAGGTGAATTATTTAAATGAATATATATCTTTAATAACTTATTTTGTTATAGTTGTTCAACATGCATGCAAATGTTCCATATTCAAGACTCGCCATCAAATATTTAATGAAATTGTAAACATTTTTATTTGTATAAAATGAACATTGAGTACATGGGAGAGGGCTTGTCGAACGCTATATCAAAATCA